TGATTGGTAATCTTGTCCTGCAAAACGTCGGGGCAGGTGCGCAAAGCGCTGGGGAAATTACAAAGCGCTGACCAATTTGTTGGCGTACTGCTGGGGCGCTTACCAATTGGTTGGGGCGCTTAGGAAGCAGTGAGTCGTTGGTACTTAGTCGGGGTCTTTGTGAGTGTTCTTTGCCCTTGTGGCCAGGTGGTTGGCAGCCTTGGAGTCAGTATATTGCACGGCGGCAGTATGATTCGAAGGTCGTGGGTTCAACTCCCACCGAGGGCATATCTGATTCTATAAGATACTTTTGTTTTGGCATTAAAGCGGTATATTGTATTGTGTCATTTGTGGCGTCACACAGCCTTGAATAAGGCTGCGTGGCAGAGTGGTTACTGTCCTATTGCTGCTATGTGTCATACACGTGCTCATAGTGAATACGTTGCGGGTTCGACTCCCGTCGTAGCCTATTATTCGATATGTGACTTTCTTTTATTTTATGTCTAACAATTTTGCTGCATTACATCTGGGGGGCGCTGAAACTTCAACTGTCCTCAGTTGTTCATAAAATAAAGGTGCAACAATTATATCTTGACGCGTGTGTGATACATGTGCAATGGACAGAAAATTCTGACACAGCCGTTCCTACTTGCTTCCAACCTCGCTAGGCTCTCCTCCCATCTCTCGCTCGAAGACGGCAATGGTGCTTGAGCTGGTGGACCAGGTGGGTAGGTGACCCACGGCGGTGTCTTGTGAGACGACAGGTGCCGCCAGGCGAGAGTGTTCAAACCCAGACGGGGGCTGGCCCTCGTTAACGACGACGATGAAAGGAACTTCTTCACTTCCTCGTAGGAAGGTGCGACGGCAGGCGGGATGTACTTCTCCGTACGATTCCTCTACGCGCCAGAACACGTGGCGAATGAAGCTGTCGTGTTCGTTGGGGTCGTGTGGGTTTGGAAGGTCTATGCGCTTGACGCCTGGAAATGGCAGCGGCTGTACTGGGCACTGCGGGTGGCTCAGTACAATGTCGTTGGCGGGATGTTCTTTTTGTAGGAATAGCTGATGTTAGTGTAATGACAGTTTTGAAATATTTGGACCGGCGTACCGGGCAGAGTTGCAAACTCTCGGTCTTTTAAGTCTGCGCGAAACCACCGACGCAGGCTGATGTAGCGTCGAAGCCAGGGGGTTAATGCGGTGTAGGGGATGCTTACGTGCACTTCGCCAATGTCCAGCATTTGGTCGCTGGCGCTGCTGTGCACAGATAGCACTGCGTGTGTAGGGTACGTGGCAATGACATTTTGGGTGCGCCCTACGATGAGGCGACGATGTCCGGCGAGGACGATCCATTCATGGAGGCCTACGAGATCGACGATCCCGGGCCGGCCGGGTTCCTCGTGCATGCTGAAGTAGGGCACTTGATGGTCCCACAGTACGGGTAGGACGGGAATGGGGTGGTACCAGGACCGGTCGATGCAAAGGAGGGCGAGTAGACAGTCCATGTTGCGGTAGTGGAAGGCAGAGCAGCGGTGTGAACTGCTGCTGTTCTCAGCGTGTTGAAGTGTTGTTTGTAGGCGCTGGGGACTGGAGTTCTCTGATGGCGGGTCTGATGGTACCGTTGACGCGGTTGCAGTGTGGTAGACGCTTGTTAGTCAAAATGATTTTGACGATAGCGCAGATGTGTTAAGCACGTGGCGGCGCACATGCTTAAAATAGAAAAAGGGCGGGCATTGTTGTGGTGTGTGTATACTTTGGAATTTTGGAAAAGGGCGGAGATGTGTTAAGCACGTGGGGCCAACTTCTCATTACGGTAACTAGGCGGGCTTGAGGCCATGTGTGGGCGTTCAAATTTCTAGAAATGAGCGGAGATGTGTTAAGCACATGGCAGAAATGAGCGCTTTGGATCTTTTGATGCGTATAGGCGGCTAAGGTCAATTTAATGGGAGATTTGAGGCGGAAAAGTGTTAAGCACGTGGGCGGACTGAGCGCTTGTAGCGCAGATCGGGCTGGAGGGTACTATGCTCCTTGGTTTTGATGCGCTATTTCGGCTAAGCCAATGTTGACATGGGGTTTGCTGGTTGCTTTTCGCCCCTTGTCTCTTGACTATCATTATGGCGTTTTGGACTGTTTACCCCGACCACACTCGTTACTTCTCGTCTGCTCCTAATGAGGAGGAGACAATGTTTCCGTGTTCAGAGTACTTTACTCTGTGTATCTCGCCGGCTCGCTACGCACGAGATTCTCGCATTTGGGAGTTGGAGTGTCAGTGCAAGGGAGTGAAAGAGTGGAAGGATTCGCGGGTCATGGTGGAGGTCTGGCTGCCTCAGCTCTACTGTGCGAGCGTTCTCATGGTTCCGTTCGACCGGCTGGAGATGTCGTGGAGGCGGCGCTTCTTCAAATCGAAGAAGCGTGTCTTGTTCTTTCAAACTTGGCCTCGTTCTTCTCGTCGTTCCCCAATCCGTAGGTTCTGTCTCTTATGTGCTGGTTCAGCAGCTAACCTTGTACTTATATTGTGCTAGGTGCTGAACTGGGTGCTCGAGGAATGATGAATATGCTGGCCGAGATTCCCTTGCCGCTGATTGAGGAGATGACATGGGTCACATTTGCCGGTGCTTGATACATGTAGGTCTTCTTGTGTGGTGTCTGAGACATAAAGATTCTGTTTCTAATCATCTGCCTCAGATTCACTACTTTCTTGGTCGTTATCTGTAATGTAGCTGTCGCTCCTTGACTGTAATTCGTTGTCTGTGTCTGATGCTTCACTGGATGAAGTCTGCTCATCAGGTTCATTTGCCAGTGTTTTAAGTCTAGGATCGTGCCGTGTGATGTAAGGTATAATGCGAAATGCTGCTACGGATTGCTCCCATACTGTGCCGTCGAGTTCTTTAAGCTTATAAGAGCGTCCGTATCCTCGTGCTGCTACGACTTCAAAGGGGCCTAGATAACGAGGCTTTGCTTTTCTATCTAGCTCCTTTTCTATAGCTGTGTTTCTTACTAACACTAGTGTTCCTGGAGGGTATACTTGATGCTGGAGGCAATAATGGAATTTGCGCTCGAACTGTGCCTTTGATCGTAGGCGATTTTCGCGAAGAGTTTCTGCAGCTTGTTCTATATCTTCTGGTTTCTTCTGTAGCTGGCGTATCCTTGCAGTAAGCAATTCTGTTGTGGTCATGCCAGAGTGATATGCGTCTGACATAAATGAAGCTTCTGCAAGATCGAAGGGCAGCAATGGGTCTTGTCCGTATAATAGGTAATATGCAGAAAATCCTGTTTGTCGCCTAACTGTTACTCGATCTGCAAAGAAGGCATGAGTTACGTAGTCTGGCCATTTCTTAGGATTTCCAGCACATGCTTTCATGAGAGATTCGCGAATCGTAAAATGCCCATTTTCGACTACACCATTGGCTCTAGAATTATACGGTGAAATTTTGATTTGAGCTATTCCGTATCGATCCATTAGTTTGGTGAAGGCCTTCTTAACTTCTGGTCCATTATCAGTGGTAACTTCGCACACAGCTCCATATCTGCAGAAGATTTGTTCCCAAAAGAATTGTGCTACTGCTTTGGCTGTGATGCGTCGTAGGGCTTTCCCTTCTGATGCACCAGTAAGATCATCTCTGGCGGCAATGATGTATCTAAATCCGTTTGCCAATGGCATATACATGCAATCTACGTAAACTCGTGAGAAAATAGTGGCTGGAGCTGAGATTTGAATAGGTAAATGAATTTTCTTGGTGCTTCGGATTTGACATTGATGACAGGATCGTACGTGGTGTCGAATGTCGTTCCACATGCTTGGCCAATAGAATCTTTCTTTGACAGTATGCATGACAGCTTGTTCGCCGCGATGGCCGAGTTTCTCATGTGCTGCTTCTAATATGCGCAGGCGCTGAGAATTTTCAAAGATAGCTTTGAGAGGGGGCTTGTTACCATTGCGCCGATACATGCTTCCATTCTTTACAAAGAAGCGAGTGGCTTTCGTGACAAATCGTTTCTTTTCTTGAGGCGTATTCAGGGTACTGGGTAGGTCTAGCGTAGTGAGGAATTTGAAAATGTTATGCATAGTTTGATCTTGGAGGGAGTATGGCGTAGTGATGCTAGATTGTTTAGCAGTAGTTTTGAAGCTTACGTGAAATACTTGTGAAGGTGGTCCGATGACTGAGTATAGTGCTATATCATCTAGCCATGAGTCATCATGGTCTATAATTTCCTCGCCTTCGCCTAGTCTTCTTCGGGATAGTGCGTCAGGTCCTCTGAATTTATCAGCAGGAACGTGAACTAGTTCAAAGTCAAATAGCAGGATGCCTTGTATCCAACGGTTGATGGTAGCATTTGGCTGTAAGTCAGGCTCATTTAACATTCCTTTGATATATTTGGCATCAACTTCGACTCTGAGTTTTCTAACACCTACTAGATAAAGACGATAGGCTCGTAGTGCTCTATAAAGGCCATAGAGCTCAACTTTTGGTTGTGAGTAGCGGGATTCCCGTTCATTCATAGGAATTGATCCATATCGTGCAGGTCGTTTCTTGCCGTCGTCATCAATCTGTGCTAGAATAAATCCTACGGCAATAATACTAGAGTCTACTGAAAGAACGACTGGGTTTTCAGAGTTGTAATCAATTGGTCGTAGAGCTGGTGCAGATGTAATAATGTCTTTTAGTGTCTGAAAGGCTTCTTCGCGTCGTTCAGTCCACTCAAAGTCTTCGGTCTTGCGTACAAGCTCAGTTAGTGGACGAGTTATAGTCGAATAATTTTTAATCCAGATACGAACTGTTCCACAAAGCCCAAGAAAGCCTCGTACTTCCTTGACGGTGGTCAATGGTGGCCAGTTTAAGATTTTCTGAATTTTCTGGTCGTCAGGTAGCCGTCCTTCTGGAGTGCACTTGTGTCCGACAATTAATGCTTCTTGTCGGGCCATTTGTACTTTAGTGGGTGAGAAGGTGCCTCCTGCATGTGCAACACGATGGATAATGCGATGAACGTCTTGCGCGTGTTCCCATATGAATCGTCTAATACCAGGATTTTCTTCAAGTACTTCTGGGTTACCATTTTGGTCCTCGTATCTTGATTGAGGTCCTTTCATAGCCAGGTCATCAATGAAGATATCTGCTTTGTGAGGAATCTCTGACTGTAAAATAAATGCCATGCATGCTTGAAACTCTGAAGGTGAGTTTGTGAATCCAGTAGGAAGCGATGTAATACGTAAAAGTCCTAGTGGTGTGAAGAAGGCAGTAAGATCTCTACTTTTAGGGTGTACCTTTCGAGCATCAAAACCCCAATAGAGATCTAATACTGTGTAGCACTGGCGACCTGCAAAGGGTTCAACAAAGTTGTCCAAATTAGGTGGTAGACCTGCTTCTCGGATGGTGACTTTATTGAGCGGCTGGAGATCATGGACAATACGAAGTTTTCCACTCTTTTTGAGTACGCAGAACCATCGAGAACGATAGGAGGATTGGCTTGGTTCAT